AAATGCATGTTCAAAGGACTTGGGGGTTTACGATATTAGCGGAGACCTTATTGGGGGTCCACACTTTTGGGCTTTTGGGCGATCCTACTATTTGGGCTTTATTCCCCACCCTCGGTGTGGGGTTGTTAGATTGTAAACTCAACTCTTCTCCTCGCCCGGTCTACTCCTCGCTCATCCTTGGAGTGCCCAACCGGGGGAGCGCCCAACCCCAGAGAACCCCGACTCTTCCGAGATGCCCAACCCCAGAGTGTTTCCCGGAGTGCCCAGCCACCCCAGAGGCTCAGAGTCTCCCTGGCGTGCCCAACCCCAGATGCCCAAATTCAGAGGCCCAACCCCAGAGTCTCCCTAGAGTGCCAAAATTCAGAGTGTCGCCGGAGTGCCCAGCCCCAGAGTCTCCCCAGACTGCCCAACCCCAGAGTCTCCCTCGAGTGCCCAACCCCAGATTGTCCCCAGAGTGCCCAGCCCCAGAGTGTTGCTGGAGTGCCCAACCCCAGAAATAATTTAAGGGCACCCTGTTTTCGTAAACCCCGTTGCACGACGCAGGGAAGGCCGAACCATTCATTGGTGGCCCAAAAAACCACATAAACATAAGGATCCTACAAACAGGCTTTTCGGAATCCCCGTGAGAGGGACTCTTATATGCTTATGTGGTTTTTGGGCGCCTAGTCCGGCTCCCTCGCTGTCTGCAAGGTAGGCAAGTCCTTGGCGTCACCCCTTGCCAAACGGCAATGCATGTGGTCTTGGCACAACTTCACATGTTGCTGGATGTGTGTTTCCATGCTTTTCTGCGTGTGACCATCGCATTAATACTATTATAAGGGGTGAAGAGAACTACGAAGAGAATGCGGTGAATGCATTAGCGTAGCGAACGAACGTAACGCATGAACGTATGAACGAAGTCAACCGCCCATGAGAATGAGTCCCAGAGCACCGTGTGTTAATACTGGATTTCCAATGTAAACCGCAGGAAGACTCGTGAATGAAGGATATGAAGTGCAGAGAATAATGTGATGAAGTGCGTAAGGAAATGAAGTGAAGATATGAACGGAATGAACGCAGTATGCCGTTCCACTACGTACCCATAATCTTGGGATGTTCCCCCTTATACTACCACTCCTCAATAGGGATCAGGATCCCACGATTAGAGGGTTTCGGGATCGGGAGGTTTGGGGTAGACAGGGTCAAAGGCTCATAGCTGCACAGCCTCCCGCTAAAGACGGCAGGGGGGGGGGGGGGGAAAAAAACAAAAACAAAAATTAAAACATAGATATATATATATATATAGATATATATCTGTCTGTATATATATATATATATATATTTTTTTTTTAATATATATTTTTGTTGGCCGCCTTCCCCCCTTGCCCCCCCCATTGGGGTCCCATTTAGATGGGGGGCCTTTAAAAATCTTTAAAACAAATCTTTCTAAAGTCTTTACATTTTAATTGGGGGCCCCAATAAAATTTTTAGGGGGGGGGGGGGGTTTAAAATCTTCAAAATCTTTGAAATTGAATTGGGGGCTCTTTTTAATTTTAAGGGGGGAGCCCCCTGTGAAAATCTTTAAATCCTTTAAAACCGTTAAAATCTTGAAAATTAAAGTGGGGTGGGGGGGGTGGGGGGGGGGTCTTTTCAAATCTTAAAACCTTTACAACTGAGTTGGTGGCCCCACTTTAAAACTTAATTGGGGCACCATTTACAGTAAATTTTAAAGGGGGCGCCCCTTTTGAAGCCTTCAAAAACTTTCAAATCAGTACAATTAGGATTTTTTAAAGCCTTTAAATCCGACTGGGGAGACCCTTTTAAAACCTGTAACGCCTCTTTAAACTCCTCAACATTTCGGCATTGATTCGCGGTTCCTTGCGTCAGGAGAATAGTGATGAATTCCGAGTCACTTCAACCAGAGCGGCTTTAAATCCATTGTAATTCTCTAAAAAACACCAAAACTCTGCAAATTAAAAACAAAAAACAGTGTTTTAACCCAAAAACACAGGCCCATGGTGTGACGCACTCTCCAGAAAATGCCTATAAAGGACTGGTAGTATCAGGGGGGGAACATCCCAACCTACATTGCTGCTTGGCCCCTGGGAGCATTCCTGAATTTTCCCAAATGGGGGTTTACGAAAATAGGGGACCCCAATATAGACCCCCAAATAGTAGGATCCCCTGAAAATAGGGACCCCATATAAGGCACCCTTAACATCGTAAAACATAAGCCCCAAACCATGATATCATGCAGGGCGCGTCTCCAGCAAATACCTCCAGCGGCGCCTTGGACCAAAGCGTAGCCTGCATGTATCCGAGGGCCTGTCTCCACACGGAGCTTATACGCAGGCCAAGGCTTGATTCTGCGATGGGTTTAGGGTTTAGGGTTTAGGGTTTAGGGTTTAGGGTTTAGGGTTTAGGGGCCACTCCAGGATTGGCAGGGGGGGACACTGTTCTAGCTCCTTCTCGGCGAAGATCGTGCACTTCACTTCCTCAATCGGCTTTTGTTGCATTAGGGCAGCTTCAGGGTTTAGGGTTTAGGTCTATGTTGGCAACGTGTGTTTAGAATTAAGCCACACGGATCTTTGAAGGACTCGACGGCCGTAAAGTACAGAGTATACGCAATCGTCTTCCGAAAACCCAACAGCATCCCCGGTCGAGAACGCGTCTAGCCGTGTCATGCGCGCTTGATTCTTCCACAAAAATCGAACTTGACAACTAACGTTCACGACAAACAATCAAGCGAAACACCCGCAGCTTTTCCCTCTGGCTTCCAGAGCTGTGCGGAGGTCTGCAATGCAAACACCAATCGGAGGCAGTTTGCGATTCTCCTGCAAGTCGGATGACGGAGATGATGGACGTATCGATGCCGGGAGGATCGGTTTTTCTTGGCCCAGTCTTGCAGAGAGGAAATTCAGAGTGGACAGGGAGTGGGAACAACTTTATCGAGGCTTTCCCTGAAGTGGCAACCGGTATCGAATGTACTCGAACACTCGTGCAATGTCAAGCGCGCTTGCGCATTCTAGCTGCGATGGAACATTGCATATGCAGGCGGGCCACCCCGTAGGGCACCCTACACCTGATTTCAATCAAACATCCCCCCCCCCCCCCCCCCCCCCCCGCCCCCCCGCCCCAAAAAACCTGAACCCTGAACCCCAAACCCGGCGAGGACCAGCGTCGATAGGCGCTGCTGCACCACAGCCCACCACGCTGCAGGAAGGGGTCAGCTGCAAGGCCTGGGAATCTCCAGGTTTCATCCCATCGCTAGGTTTAGGGTTTCAGGATCGGATTACAGCTTTTGCTTTCGATTTTTCTTCTCGGGTTTAGGGTTTTTGCTCTCACCTCCTGCTCTAGGAGCTAGTCGTCAAAGTCTAGCCGACGAGATCCAAGGGCTGCAGCTCTTCACCCGGACTTTTTTTCCACCTCGAGAGCCCATCCATGCAAGAAGCCGTACCATCGTGCTTCTACGTGACAGGAGGGTTCTGACTCGTGCTTCCTGATGTCACACCCGTGAGAACCTGTGAATGCGCCTGGACCACGAGAACTGGAAATGGTGGCATGAACAGTCGTTAGAGCTAGAGTTGCAGGCAACTCTAGTGCAGGCCACAAAAGCAGTCTTCGTCTTTGTGCGTCTCAAGTTCGCAGCTCTCAAGACTCAAGGAGAACCACAGTTCGAGCGCGTCGCACAATATTTGTCGACAAGACAACAACCAGGAAAAATGAGTTCAACCAAAAGAAACAACGACCCTAAACCCTAAACCCTCAAACCCTAAGCCCCCGATCTCGCAAGGCTTCTCCTTGCCGCCCAGGGGGCCCCAGTATGTGAGTTGATGGTCAGCCCATACTTCATCAGCTCACAATCCTCCAGCGCTGCCCATCAAAGCCGAGAAAGGGAATTCAGGGTTTGGGGTGCCGGGTTTAGGAGGGCTTAGGGCTTAGGGTTTAGGGTTTGGGGGGGGTTCATGGGGGCTAGGTACCTAGGGAACCTTCGGGAAGCTTAGGGAGCCTTAGGGAGTAGTGGGCAGTGCTAGGGAAGCTTGGGTTCCATACCCCCCCCCCCCCCTCCCTTAACAGCCCTATAAATATAGTATGCGGCGTTAGGCTTGCGGCTGTTGGGGTCCTGGGAGGGTGGGCTTAGGGGCGAGGCCTGCGTCTAGACTACCCAACTATGCCGGAGCAGTCCACTTTTACCGCCTTGAACTTACACACCTTCCTGCGTAAGGGTCCGGATCCGACGTTCTTGGCTGCAACCGGTGGTTGCTATGTGGTCTATATGGGTCTATATGCAGACAGAGGCAAAGTTCGCCACCCAGGCCCGCAAGTGGAGGCGCAATCTGATAATCTGGCAAGAAAAAATCTTCAGCCAGGCGCCTTGTCCACTGAGTAGCGGCCTTGCAGTTTGCCCCAAGCTGTACCGAAAGACATTCGGGTAAAGAGTCTAGGGTTCAGGGTGCAGGGTGCCAAATTGCTTTTGCTTTGTGTCAAAGCTTGCGGGCAGCGCGCGAAAAAACACAGGCCGCATGCGAAACCCTATCCTGCATCAAGCGACCTTGGTCTGGAAAGAGTGTGAAGCTTTTCAGACATATATAAACACATATTGTATGTTATATGTCAATATGTCTTTTACTAAACTATACGAAATGAAATAAGATAAAACTATGGATGTATTTTGATATGCATATTTCCGCCAATTTGTCACCTCCCCTGTTTTGGGTTGGTGCCTTGGTGTCAGCTCACATGGTTGTAGGGCCCTCGCCTCCGCCCTTTTGCTACTTGTGGACGCCTTGCAACCCCCTATGCACACCTTGTAGCATGAACCTGTGGACCCCTACCACCCCTATGGATCCCTATGGACCCCTATGGAAGTTGCTGGCATTTCGGGAGGCGCCCTCGTGAACAGAACGCTTCCGCAGGGGCATAACTCTTGGTTAGAGAGACACTCTCCATGCTAGAGAATATCAAGAGATGAACGCTCACTGATGGTTCTGCAATAAGACCCTTAAAATTGCGATCCGAAGCTAGGCACCCCCTGTTGTGAGCAAGCTGCTGCCAGTTCGAGGCATCGGGTATCCGATGACTTCTGTGGACCCAATCGCCAAGGGGGCGACGTAGTAGGCGAACTGGGTGCCTTCCTCTGTTCTGGTGCTGAACACGGGGGCCACGGGGACCCAGCTAACCGGCCCGGCTGCTACGATCGGGGTCCCTGTTTGATGGCTGCCCGAACTAGAGCCAGCTCTTTGGTGCAAAGCCAGCGAGCTCCAGCACTCTCCAAAAAATCTAGCAGAGGGCATGAGCTGACTACCAACGAAAGGGAGAGCAGTTGTCCTACTAAAAATGGGACTCGTATTTTCCCTGGACTAGCCTGGACTAGCCTGGAGGAGGAGTAGTAGTAGTAGTAGCCGTCGTCGTCGTCGTCGTCGTCGTAGTAGCAGTAGTAGTAGTAGTAGTAGTAGTAGTAGTAGTAGTAGTAGTAGTAGTAGTAGTAGTAGTAGTAGTAGTAGTAGTAGTAGTAGTAGTAGTAGAGTAGTAGTAGTAGTAGTAGTAGTAGTAGTAGTAGTAGTAGTAGTAGTAGTAGTAGTAGTAGTAGTAGTAGTAGTAGTAGTAGTAGTAGTAGTAGTAGTAGTAGTAGTAGTAGTAGTAGTAGTAGTAGTAGTAGTAGTAGTAGTAGTAGTAGTAGTAGTAGTAGTAGTAGTAGTAGTAGTAGTAGTAGTAGTAGTAGTAGTAGTAGTAGTAGTAGTAGTAGTAGTAGTAGTAGTAGTAGTAGTAGTAGTAGTAGTAGTAGTAGTAGTAGTAGTAGTAGTAGTAGTAGTAGTAGTAGTAGTAGTAGTAGTAGTAGTAGTAGTAGTAGTAGTAGTAGTAGTAGTAGTAGTAGTAGTAGTAGTAGTAGTAGTAGTAGTAGTAGTAGTAGTAGTAGTAGTAGTAGTAGTAGTAGTAGTAGTTCTTCCATGGAAGAACAACAGTCTGGGCTTGCCCTGGTCGTGCCTTCTGCCCGCCTCCGCATTTGCAGCACGCATCTTGTGCACTGATGCCTGAGGGTGCCAGTGCATGAGGCATTTGTCCGGGCTGCACATGGCACGTAACCCAAACCCTAAACCCTAAACACTAAACCCTAAACCCGAAACCCTAAACCCTCCCCTAATCCCCAAGAGTCCGGTGCCTTGGTACTTCTCGCTTGTGCAGCTTGCGGTGATGCAGCTCTCCCCTGCCTGGGACAAGAGGATCCGAAGGATTCGAGGATTCTTGGGGAGCCGGGGCTTCAGCTGAAACGGGTTTAGGGTTGAGGGCTTTGAGGGTTTAGGGTTGAATTAGGGTTTGGGGGTTTAGGGCTCAGGGTTTAGGGTTGCTTGTTCTTTAAAGGGCTTAAAGCGAGATTCGCTAGGAAGAGCCTGCTGGCCTTGTTCGCCCATCCGGGTAGATCCACGCAAGCCATACACGTCTTGTCACTGCCTCGGTTGATGATTTGACTTGCTTCTTTTATTTGGGAGAATCGGGGTTTAGGGTTTAAGGTTTAGGGTTGTAAAAATCGGGGTTTGGGCTTGTCATGTTTTGTGTGCGTGGGCTTCACCACTCCAGACCTATGCCAGCCAGAGGGCTCCTAAGCATTGCAACTACTATGATAATTGACAGAAAGTAATTATGAATTAATCAATCTGAACCCTAAACCCTAAACCCTAAACCCTAAACCCTGCTGGGTCGCGCAAAGTGAAGCCACCGCTGCAAACCTCACAGCCCGTCTTGTCGCTGTTCAGCTTTGAGCAGCCAGCGCAGAATTCCTCCCCAGGTGGAGGCTGGAGGTTTAGGGTTTAGGGTTCAGGGTTCAGGGTGAAACAGTTTGTTTGACTAAAACAGGCTTGGATGCAAATGCTCAAAGGTTGCAATTCAGGGGCGCTCAGGGCTTGCAGCCTGTCCTTGTCTGCAGGGCAGCAACTTGTGGAGAAGCCCGGGAAGCCCGCACTCGTCTCCCCCGGATAGAACAACACCACCTGTCACGTGATCTGGGTTTAGGGTTTAGGGTTTAGGGTTTAGGGTTTAGGGTTTAGGGCGTGCTCTGGAGTGCTGGTGTGCTGGCTCAGGGCTTAAGACCCCAAACCCTGAAGGCATTGGCTTCAGTGTTCTGTAGCTTCTCGCGAAGCTGCGAAAGTGCACAAGCCTGTGCTGCCTGTTTGGTCCACCGAACGAGCGGCCGCCTCATAGTAGAAACCCCAGAAGGGGTTTAGGGTTTAGGCGCAGCCGCCCTAGGCCCTAAACCCTAAACTCCCTAAGCCCACGTCAAGTTTGAAGCCCAGAAACTCGGGCTTCTGCGTCTTTGAAACATTGCAATCATGCGTCCATGCCTTAGATGGCCTGACTTCGGAAGTCCCCCGACCCTCTTTGGGTTCAAAAGCCCTAAAACCCCTCAAAACTCTAAACCCCTCAAAACCCTAGCGCCTTAAACCCCCTAAAAGCCCTAACCCTACAAACCCGAAAACCCTCAAAACCCTCAAAACCCTTAAAACCCTTAAAACCCTGAGAGGAGAAGGGGTCTGTAGGTACCTAGGGAACCTTAGGGAGGCTCAGGGAGCCTTAGGGAGTAGTGGGGAGTATTAGGGAACCTTTGGTTACATACCCCCTTGAACCCCCCTCCCTCAAGAACTCTAAACCCTAAACCCTAAACCCTAAACCCTAAACCCTAAACCCCCTGAACCCTAGACCCTAAACCCATCAAGAAATCACCACAAGGGACCTCTGAGTTGCTGCAGCTGCCGCCGACTTCGTTCCAGGAGGATGAGACGTTCAGGCCTTCAGACACCTGGACTTGGAGTCAAGATTCGCGGCGCTCTCTTAGGGTTTGGCGTTTAGCATGTAGGGTCTGGGGTGTCGGATTTGGGGTTTGGGGTTTAGGATTGGGGGGGGGGACATTTACAACGCAGGGGTCAAATGGCTGATGAAGTTGGGGGATTCGGCATGACTGTTTGGACTTGCCGTTTTTTTGTTTCCAAACGCTTCGAGTCCGGAAAGGGCCTGTGCAGCGGCCAAACCCCAGCATCTGACTGTTGACTTCGTGAACTTGGCGGCTTTTCAAGAAATTTCGTTCTTTCACTTCTGGGCAGCGCACGGTTGGAGGCTCAAGGCGCACGAGGACGAGGACAGACCGGAAACGAAACTGATCCAACGAAGGCCCAAGACCAGCAAACCAGCTAGGGGCTACAGGGTAGGAAATCTGGGCCCGCTCTTTGGGGGTATATTTCAATACAGAGCGTGATAGGCTAGGTACCCAAGAAGTCTCCTCACAGGGACCCGTCGTTTAGAGACCTGTCCTACTTCATGCCCAGATACAGGGCCTTAGACTCGTTAGACATACATGACCGGGGAGACACGTCTGTTTGCAAGCTGAACAGGGATTATCATAGGGGGGGGGGTACTAGAAGCCCCTTATTAAGGACGGACACATCCCAAGATGTTGCGACTAACAATCCGTCCCACCTGTCCCAAGGCGTTGCCCGGCTGGGGGTGGCAGAGCTCAAAGTGTCCGTTTTGTACCTCTGCTGAAGAAGTGTACTCACAGCTTCTGCATCATATGGGTGTTTAGGATACTACGGGCACCTTAATTGGGGTTATAGGGGGATCCTAGTATTTGGGGATTAGGGGTTCCCTTATTTTCGTAAACCCCCATATAGCTTCACATCAATCTAAACGAAGCTCTTCAGCATCTACAGGTCTGGGCATCTGAAGGGGCTGAAGGTACGAAATTACACAACCTTTTCCCAGCTCTCTGATAGGGCACCGTCGTTGGCGGAACCATGTGGGCCTCCTGAGGCTTGCCGCCCGCCGGCTTGAGCATGTCGTGCAGGGTCCTGAGAATCTAATGCAGATATTGGTCCACCCCTATGACTATGGTCAACTCTAAACCGACCCTAAACCCTAAACCGGAAACCCTAAACCCTAAACCCCGAAGCCCAGAAGGGGGGTCGGAGTGGGTCCTTTGAAGCTTTGGGCGTCGTCGGCATGTGACCAGGGTTGAGGGGTTTAAGGGTAGATTTAGCTAACTAATGCACCGAAACGTTCCACTGTGTCCGCACTGCTCCATGAGTTGAAATTGACAAAACCCTCCCTCGCATCTCTCAACAGCAAATTATGGTGGGTTTACGAAGAGACGGGACCCCTGATATAATCACCTGGGATAGTAACTGTAGTAGGATTCTCTTATACAAGGGACCCTAAGAAGGCACCCCGAATGTCGGAACCCCTCCCAATAAACGCAAGCCGGCAACAATCGAGGGGAAACTAGCCAGCGATATCCCTTCGCCGAGGCACAGGGCTTCACTGTCTTTTGCGTCTAAGCCTCAAAGGCAAAGAACGCAAGAACTCGAGGTCTTGCAAGTCTACGCACAGAAAGTCTCGACTTTCTGACCATGTTTGGCTGCCATTGTGACACACGAGCCCCTCAGCTGACCAAGCCAACAAGACATCAGGGCGTCTCAATGGGTTCTGACATGTTCTGACGTGGTGCCCTGCCCTTCGTCTTCACGCAGTTCCGCCCACGTCTTCAACGGTGCTGGCTCCTGCGAAGAAAGAAGGTGTGGGAAATCCCGAGGCGCCAGAAATGCTGGCATCCGCGAAGAAGACGTCGAGTTCTGCGACGTTCTAGTTTTGCCCTAACACTCGCTTCCGAAATCCAGCGCCCTCTTAAGCAGAGCAGTGAAAACTTGAAACGATTTGCCAAGATTGAACCCTAAACCCTAAATCCCTCGGCCTCAGTCAGCTCTTCTGACTGAATCTCGGCGACCTGAGATCGGTAGTCGGGATTAGGGTTTGGGGTTGTCGGGATTTGAGGGGAGTCGTGCGCCGCTCAGAAAAGGCACCTTGTGCTGGAGCAGGATGCCCGATCGGGACCCCAAGCCGGGGGGGCAGGACTCCTCTGAACCATTCTAGAAGATGGGTTGATAGGGCTTAGGGTTTATAGGGCTTAGGGTTTAGGTTTGGGGTTTAGGGTTGGGGTTTGGGGTGAAAAGCTGCGCAATGGCCCGGTCCTCCAGCGTTGCATGGGCCAAAGCTGCAACGGATATAGAAAGTACACACGAGAGCAATGGGCGCGGCATGGCAGCGAACCCACCGGCAGTATCGGAAAGAAACGAAAGTGAGGTCTTGAGACACAAAATCAGCGGAGCATCACTTGGAGCAGCTTATGACAGCTTGTTGTTGCCCAAGACAGTAGAGGTACTTGCCGCAGGGAGCACACCATTTAATGGAGCATTTAGCGGACAGTTGCCATGTAAGCTTTACCCCCCAAATGGAAGGGATCGACTGTCACCCCACTAGGCCGGACCATTTCCGGCGTGGGGCTGCTGTCACCCTGGATCGGACCACAGCAAACAAAGCACACCAAATCCCCGGAACCTTGCGTGAATAAGTCAATCCTTCACGTAAGCAAACTTGTTCAAATCGTTGACCAGCACCGCCTTCAAAAGCAAAAATGCATCTGGTTTTGTTCAAAGCTGACTCAGGTCGAGGATAGGAAAGCTGTACAGAAAGCAATGCCCGTCGAGCCCACTCGGTCTCATGACTCATGCACACCGTTTCCTGCAGGTTTTAACGTCAGCCGCATTCCAGAATGACACTTGTCAGAGTTCCATAGTGACACCTTTCCGCGTTCCAAAATGACACTTTGCCGCTTTAATGGACCCTCTTCCCCAACAGCAATATGTTTACAGCAAACCCTGCTTCTATTCAACCTTCAGCCCAGCGCAGCCCCAATTGCAAACACAACGTTCGCCAACAGGTGCGGAAAGGATTTGTGTGTTTTATCGCAGGTGATCTTCATGGCGTGTTCTTCTTTAGAAAGCAAGCTGGCACGGCTTAAGAACGTTGTGAAGTAAGGGTTGAAGCCATAGGAGTGGGTACAGAGCTTCAGTCTCGCTTTGTCAATGCTTATGCACGCATCCGCGCAGTTTGTGGCTTCTTTGCGCCACGCTGGTCAAACAGCCTATTCTGTTCTATTCGAACACCTCCACTGAAACAGAGAGGTGCGGTCCTGCCTCACATGGACAGGAACTCGAATATCCTGGCTGGTTTTTGCTTCAGTCATGCACCACTTAATTAGGGCTCTTGATGGTTGAATATGCCCTTTGCTCCTTTGCATAGCACCTACGAAACGGGAGCCGTTGCTCTCACGAGCTGGGGCAGTTGTCAAGGGCCTCCAAGCCTGATTCAGACCCTTCTTCGAAGCTGTAGTATACTTGTAGCCTCGTGCTCCAAGAGATCGTTAACGACAGCAGAGCTGCCACTGTACACAATCTTCAGCAAGATGCTCAGAACAGATCTTGTGATGGCAGGAAACATTTTGGCTGCAAACCACGATCTCTACACTCTCTCCGTGGAAGCTGCTTGCAATCCGGACTCGCATCTCTTTTGGTTGCTCGGCGGACTTTTGCTACCTTTGTGATGAAGCGTTGTGCAGTGATGTGGCTAGCAGGCGTAAACTTCGGTGCAGCCCTAGGAACTGGGCACTGACATAACTCGTACTTCACACTACAAGCTGCTTACAAGCTTTTCATCCCGACGTGCCACATACTTGCGACCGAGTTGCGCGCTTGGCGTGGACGTGGGGTGGGGGCCCCAGCAAGCCTGCAGGTAAGGGTTTTGGGGCAACAGCGTCGCAAGTACGTGCTTTGGAATGCCGCACACTACGCGCAGCTCCTCCTTCTTCTTCTCATTTAAGGGATCGGTCCGCAACTCCCCTCCCTCCACTCTTGCCCTCTCTCTCGCCCTTTCGCTCTCTTCTTCGCTTCCTCTGCACTGCTCAGCCTGAGCGGGTGCACGGCCACGCCACAGCAGGGCTCGCTCTCTCCGTGTCGCTCTTCTTGTTCTCCTTCTTCCCGGCTTGAGGGGGGAGTGCACGCGCCCGGACTGCGTCCAAGTCCGGTGACACTTCCACGGCTGAGGACGAAGGCCCCGACACTTTGGGTGTGTGGCTCTCTCTGTCTCTCTCTTTACTTATCCTTTCTCTATCTGTCTCTCTCTGCTTGAGTACGCTTTAATAACGATGGTGTGGTACATGGAGATGATGAACCGTTCGGTACTTGAGAGCTTGACCTTCTCTTGCAGGTTCAACTCCAGCTTTGCGGATGAGGCATCTTTTGAAGAAGCAAACCCTAAACCCTAAACCCTGAACCCTGTTGCTGTGTTGCATCCGAGCCTGCTAGAAGAGGCATGGCATCCTCCTCCTCTTCTCCGAGTCGACCAGAGCCTTTGTTAGTGAGAATTCCCTGTGATGCTGCCAGGGCCCTTACTCAAGATGTGGCTACTTCCTTTTGCATGGGTGTAGCCATGGGGCTCAATTGCAATTATCAGCCCTTCGTTCTCAAATCGGAAAAATTCGGGGCGTCGGCCGCCCTCCTCCACGTTTTCGTAGGAGTCCTGCTTGTTGTCATTCGGCTGGGTGCCTCTTCTGGGCTTCCTGAGCGCAAGCAGCAACGACAACAACAGCCACGTGGGTTTGCGTAGTGTCAAACTTGATGTCTTCCTCGTCCTTGTTCTTGCTGTTGAGTTGATGTTCTTTGTGGGAAGTGCTCGCTCGCTGCTATAGCGCTGTCGGTGTCGCCATGGCATTTTCACGTTTTCGGTTTTGCGCGGTTCAATAGACCACCCTGTGCAACCTTAGGGAGTGCCGTTTCTGCGCAAAACCCCCCAAACCCGTTCAGGGCCCCTCCAGCAGCTCGTCGACTTTGCGCTATGGAAGGAAAGCACCTGGAAATACAGCAGACAATATCTATCTTCCATAGATTCAACCATGAGCAGCATCTCGCCCATTGTTGGCTATATTTGGCCATCAACAATGCACCAAAGCACAACTACAACTTGTTGGTAGGCCGCGTCTCGGATGAGGTATTCCGGATGATGTCGGTGCCCTGTTCGCCTTTGCTTCCACAGGGTTTGTGGGTTTAAGTGCCAACCCTCGGACTGGCAGTATACAGAGAGAGAACATGTGACACCTGGGCCCATTTTCTGGATTCCTCCGGTTAAAGCCTCAAACTCCAACAGTCGATGCTCATGCCGAACGCCGTCCTTCACCCTTCCACAGCCTGACACAACGTCGGCCCTATCGGCACTCAAGTCCCAGTCGCCTCAAGCGCTGATGGGTTAGAACGACGTGCTGGTTCCTCCATCGGCGGCTGCGTTTGCCGTGGCGCCTTTGCTCGTGGGGGATACTCATGCGTGTAGGGTGCAGTCTAAAGTACAAACACAAGGACTGCGTTAGGGTTCCAACTTTGTCTGTCACATGCTTCATGCCCAATCGAACCTATGGCAGGAGCAATCGAGTACTGCGGTACGATGCGCATTCCAACCCAAAGGCTGCAGGAGGGGCGTGCCGTTGGGGATGATGCCTCCGGCTTGAGATAGCTCAACTGCCGTGAATCCCGTTACCTTCATAGACTCATGGCACTGCTAGTTCTCTGTGATAGCCAATAGCTGAGAGAACATCATGGTTCGATCCCCCAAAGGTTTGTACAGAAGCAAATGCGACCACCACACCGGAGCGCCTGCCGTCAGCAATCCTCTAGGCGAAGAGAACCCCGAACCACTCGTGCATCCCAAAGCGCCCCAAAGTGATGAACTATAAGTCTCTTTCGGCAACCAACCTACCACGCCCGCTGTAATGCGCCAAGAGGCTGGCCTAGCGGCCCCTGGCGGATGCGCCTTTTCTTCGGCGCGGCGTCGCGCAATCGCCTGGGTATTCTCCTGCAGAGTCTTGGGATGCGAGCTCAACTGAGACTCCACCGAACGCTCCAAGAGTTGTCAACTTCGGTTCCGGGCTGCAAGAATCTTGTTGAAGCATGGAGTAGCGAATCCATCTGTTGCTGGGCTGGAGTTGCAAAGCTGCCACATCAGCTGTGTTACGTGCTTCCGACCGCTGATTTTGAGCAGGTCGAGGCCGAGCATTCGCAAACACTCACGTCTACATTGCTCGTAGCTCCTCCGCCGTCCTCCTTGGCGGCAAAGGAGGCAGGTGGGATGAGAGAGATGGGACATCTGAACGTGCAGCGAGCAAGCCTGGTCTTCATCACCACCAACTCCAAGCCCAAAAAGCAAGCCCAGGTAATGCTTTCGTTTTTGAGCGTGTAGTGGGTTTATTGGCTACCGCCACGTGGGAATGGAGGATGCCCTCTGGCTTTGGCCTGCTTGTCGGATGAAGCAGCCAAGCTTCGCAGTGACATCATCTTGATCATTCGGATCATTTGGATCCGGTGGATAGTCGTCCGGGTTCACCTTGGCATGCTTATGTCAGAAGGAAGCCAATGGGTCAGGCGTGATTGTGCAGGTTGACGTCTTCTGCATCCTGGTCTAACTCTACGCTGACTCTGTCGTCTCCTGGAACTTGAAGCCCAAGGAAGACAGCAACAACTTCAATCAGGAGCCGGGGCTTTGGCTTTTCTAGTTGCCAACTGGCCGTGCTTGAGTCACTTAGGCAAAGCCACCAGCTCCGTGTTTCGTGAGAAGGGCCTTTGGCCGTTGTACCCGCAATGGTGTTTAGCAGGTTGGCGAATTGAAAACGACCCTCGCTGACGACATCTAATCATCCCCCAAGGCCTACAGTAGTTGAACAAAATCCAGTTCGAGCTTGGGTGCAAACTGCAAACTCCTTGGAGGAACCAGCCTCCAATATCTGGCTTTTTTGCATGCAGCCCTACAACCTAAATCCTGAAGCTCCTTTGAACCCTTACAATTGCCCTAGCAGCCCTTGTTGCATCCTGGGCCTCTCAAGAGCATGCCGGACATGTCATATCTTCCCCCCCTATGCCTTCCAACCCTACAGCCCAGGCCAAGGTACCAAAGCGCCGGTCTGCACCCAGCGCTCAGCCTCCTCCGTAGTGAGGCCTCGGCCGTACCTTCGCGAGATCGAAAGGTGCGACTAGGGTTTAGTATCTGTTCCTTGGGATGCACTGGGGGGAGGGTAGAAACAGATCGTCTTTCAAGGGGTTTGAGAAGTCTTCGATCCTGGCTGCGCGGATATGCGCCTTGGGAGTCTTTTACGATATGGGTTTATCACGGGCGGGCATGGGTTTATCACGGGCGGGCGCGAGGATCTCAAGCTTTTGCC